TGCCGCTGGCCCCTCTGCGAAAAGTTTAACCCTTTGTGGGTTTAGTGGAACACCCCTTGATTTCTCAAAACTTGAAGTCTAAAGATCCAACCCAAAGCAGTCAGGAAGGGTGGTTTAGATTCTTTGAGTTGGTTCAAGATTGGGCACCCCAAGCAAGGAGAACCAAGGATTGGGAGGCCTGACTTAGTTTAAGATTGCTTTACTTTTTGTACATATATATATATATATATGTATATATATATATGTATACATGTATATATATATATATATATATGGTACCCCCCTCACAGGGACCTACCTTTTTGATGAATTCACTGGTATTTGCAGTGTTTTCTACCCTTTTTTGGGCTTTGGGGAGAGCAATGAAAAAGAAGCATTTCCAAGGACGTTCTGGAAGCTTCAGGCTTGATTGAAACCGATTTAAACCGATTTAATTTAAATCGGGCATGGATTCTTGTTTCTAGATTCTTGAATCCAGGCCAAACTTTTCCAGGGATTCTTGTCTCCCGGCGTCGATTTAAACCGATTTAAACCGATTTAACTTAAATCGGGCATGGATTCAAGATTCAAGATTCAAGACTCCCTGGAAAAGTTTGGCCTGGATTCTTGAATCTTGAATCTTGGATCCATGCCCGATTTAAGTTAAATCGGTTTAAATCGGTTTAAATCGACGCCTGGATTCAAGAATCCCTGGAAAAGTTTGGCCTGGATTCTTGAATCTTGAATCCATGCCCGATTTAAACTTAAATCGGTTTAAATCGGTTTAAATCGAGACCCGAATTCAACATTGCACTTTGCGCGGCTGTACTTTAGCACAGTGTTGTGCAAGCATCCAAGTCCTGATTATTCATTCAATCTGTTTCAATCTAGGCCCACATTCAAGATTGCAGGTCAAAGTTTTCTAGGGAATCTTGAACCCAGGCTCAACTGAAATTTCAGTCGGTCTCAATGGGTTTCACTCGAGCCTGGACTCGCGTTTGCAAAGAAGACTTGTCTAGAGAATATGGGTTATTTCCTTATCAAATCCTGTTAAAGCTCATATTGAATTGCACGTATAAAGGAACTCTATTTAAACTCGCAATCTCAAATTTGATTCCCATTAGGATTCTGACCAAATATTTCCGTATTGAGTCCCAATTAAATCCTGTTCAAGTTCAAATGAGCATTTAGAGAGCGTTCGTTGGTGGAGATGTGAATTGAGTATGAAAAACGCTACACAACACTGTGTTTTACGGTGTTTTCTGACCAAGGTAGTGTTAGGACTAGTGAAAGACACAAGTTTGGGACCTTTGGATTCTTTCCTTATGCATTCCACTTAGTATGTTTTATCAAATTCAACCTTATTTTTGATTGAAATTCAATGGAGCTTAAGAAGGACATACTCCAGCCAAAATTGCGATTTAGATTCGAACTTAAATATTGACTGTTTATGTCAAATTAAATGGTACAAACTAGTTTCTGTCCAATAGACCATTGTACATTGAAATTCAATCACTTTCAGAACTAGCTAGTCCTAGTTTGGTCCTAGTCCTAGTTGGGAGATCCTTGGTTATAGGCCAAGTATGGTCCCAGCTTACTGAAATACGTAGAACGTATAAAGGACATTACAAAGGAAGTTCGTTATGAATTGTAGTTAATATATTAGTCAAGTTCTATGCAACTTCTAGCTGAACAATTGAATTTGAAATAAGGAGAATATCCAGTCAGAATTTACATGTTAGGACCAAATACTAAACAGGACTTTTTTTCCACCAGAATGTAATACTTGACATCCAAATACTATAAGAAGTAGAATTAAATGGTCTAGTCCTAGTTTGGTCCAGATGCGAGATCCTTGGTTCTGGTGTTAGGTTGCTCCCTAGTTTACTGCAACAATTAGAACATATACAGGACATTGCAGAGGAAGTTATACTTGAAGTTCATTTTTTGTAAGAATCCGAGGTGGGTCGTCTAGTCCTAGTTTGGTCCTAGTCCCAGTTCAGAGATCCTGGGTTCTAGTCTCAGTTGGTTCTGGTCCTAGTTGAGAGATCGTTCCTCCCAGTCCTAGATGGGCAATTCATGCACTGGAGAGGCAGCCAAAAGGTAGGTCCCTGGGGGGGGGGGGTAGCATATATATATATATATGTATATATATATATGTATATATATATATATGTATATATATATATGTGTTTATTGGGACATATGTTGTGTGTTCCCCCCCAGGTTCGAAGGATTTGGCCCAAACAAACATTTCCGGTACTTCTTACTTCCTCCGACTTGAAATCGGGATGGTATTTCCTCCGAATTGAAATCTCCAAAAATGCCGGCTGCCCCAAACTCGGCCCTTCCATCAGGAGGCAAACATGTCAACGGGGCCGCCAAGCGTCGTGGCAACAGCTTGCTACAGCTCCTTCTCGTTGGTCTCATCGCAGCGGGTCTTCTAAAATGGATGCCCAAAAAGTGAAGGCTCCGCAAGCCTTTTGAACAGCAAGCAAGGCAAGTGGCCATGGGTCAAAATCCCGGTTAGCCCCCAGTGAACATCCCAATCCCCACTAAAATAAAATGAACACAAATGGGTGGTGAATTCACAGCCAAGTTGGCGGTCAAATTGGGGACTCCTAAGCCATCCGCCAAAACTTGTGTTCCTCTCAGATCTACCCAGAAAAAAAAGGGGGGAGGGTGCCCTGCGCCCGCGGAAAAGGCTCCCAACAAAATGCCATGGGCACTGGTCTCTTACAAATTCGAATGGAACCCAAACAGCGGGTCCCCCAAAGCGAGACTATTGGGCTCCATTTTAACCAGCAGGGAGCAGTGCAGGTTTCCAACCCTCTCCGGATTGTTCCCTCCCAACGGGGTATGAGACGCCGCTTAACCCATGCAGGAGGGGTGTGGGATGTCCAGTGGAGGTGTCTGAGTCAAGCCTCAGGAGCGTCTGGAGTTTTTGCAGGCGCTCAGAATTCCTCCCCCAATGGGTTCTTTTGGGCTCCATGCTAACTTCCTGAGCGGACAACGAAAAAAAAAAAAAAAAAACTATTCTGGTTGCCACTAAAACGGTCATCCCAAGTAAGTTCAGAAACTCAGCATGAAAGAACATGCCCAAAAACTCAAACTACCCTTTAGAAACATGAAGAACCCCATTATTTTGGGGGCAATTTCCTTGAGCTGCTTCGCTTCAGCGAGGTGCTGAGGCATCCGGAGCCGCCGGAGCAATCGCCTGAGGCTCCTCCGCGGCTGAGGGGAGCGCGGCAGATGCTGCCGCGGCCATCGTCGAATCGTCGCCGGCCGCAGAACCGCGGCGACAAGCTCAGACAGTTTGTTGGGTCCTTCCGAGGTCCACAGTCGGTACATTCAGGGGTGCGGTACATGACATACATGCCAAGGGACCCTTGGGGGAATGGACATGGGAAGGCCGTTTCAAGGCGGGTGTTTTTCGTGTTCATTCAGCTAGAATACCAAATCTGGCCGTTGAGCGACTGACAGTAGCTGGGCTATTGGGACACTGCGTGATTTGCTTGTTCAATGGGAGGTGGAACAAAGATAGCCTTGTTAAGCCGGGAAATGCGTTCTCCCTCAATACGCTAAGGATAAATGTTGATGAGTTGACATTCGAGCCACTGTCCACTACTGGACATCGGTTTGTTGATGAACCCTATCGGTATTGCAAATCGGAAGGGATGGGTGTTCAATGGTATTTCTTTGTCTGTTTCGTGTAGTTTTATGGTCATTATACCTCAGGCGCGGGTAAAAAACCCATAGCACCCGGTTCCAAACGTCCTGGAGCCAAGACGGCAACTTTTGCCAGCAAAAAGCCCCGGATCTGTGAAACCGTGTAGCAGCAACTTGTGTGTTGGCCACGACCAGGATTGCACTCAACAAAAAACAAACCTAAAAATAAAAATAAAGCACAACAATTGGATTCAGATATAATGTTCAAAGGGTTCAAGTACCTTCTGAGGATCAAGGGGTCCAAAACAGAGGGTCATTTGGTGTCTGACAAGACACCAGACTGATTAAAAAAGACCACGAGGCACCTGGTGGCCTCGAACTAAGCGGGGCCAGCACCGGATGCCCATCGAACCACTCAACAGACCGACCGACCATCGTCTTCCGCATGGCGGAGGCTCTTTTTTTTAGGGCGCCCGGCGATGTCGTCGCATTGACCTGCCATGCGCTGGGCCCATCCACTCAGATGTGTCTCAAAATAGAGGACCCCCCCAAAAAAAGAACCTCAAGTTGTTTCCTCTTGGTTTCCCTGCCAAAAAGCCATCCAACCAGAAGAGCAGTTAGCCCTCAAAGGCGCCTTCCAGGGCTGCGCCACGCGGCAAAATCACCACCATCAAGCGACAACTCCGACGGCACTGAAGATGGTTGCGATGGTCAAACTCGGGTAAGCTTTTCTTCGACACCTTACAGTTAGTCATGACTCCTCTCAGATGCCCAGTGGTCATGGGAAAAAAGGGATCTTTTTTGGTTGGTTGAGTTTAAAAGGGAACCCTTCCCCCCCAAAAAAGGGCGCAACTGGGCCTTACAGTTCGTCATGACTCCTGTATGCTGGCGTCGCATCCAAAGAGTCCCTGGTTCTGAGTGAGGATGTACATACTCAAGAGTCAAAAGGGGTGATTTGGTACATCCTTGCAAGATGATGGGCGCGAAATGTCAGGGCATCCATCCCTTCTTGACTAAACAAACAGCTGAATGGCTGTGCACTCCTTTTTGAGTGTCCTCAAGAGCTTAATGGAGACCCATGGGGGGTCTGCTTTTCAACACCTCGCAGCCCGCTCGCTGTTCGATTTTCGAGCGCCGCCTAGGGACGGAGGCCTCCCAACCCATCGGCTTGTGGATCTCATGATCTCATGGCTCCAGATCGTCGGGTACATTAAAGCATCAAAACAAGTCCCAGGGCCTCGCCTCTCTCACAACATAAGAAAGACGACATGGAAAGACGCGGGTTTTTGGAGGGTCTCCTCAACTTGGTGCGGGCTTGAAAGAATTGACACACCTATTCTGAGAAACACATGCTACGGCTGAGAGTCCCTGTGCGGCAATTTGTACACCGTGAGCAGATTCTCCGTCAGCTTCTTGCTGGCGTCTGTCACCTCCACTTCCTGACGAAAAAACCACCGTGGTTCCCGCCGAAGATTCCCGAATTCTGTGCCGAGAACCAGCCGGGAAAGGTTGGACAAATCATAAGTCCCGTGTAAAATTGGGGTTTGACAATCTGAGGAAAAGTCCTCCGATGTCCGACTCTAAGTCGACCGCAGAAACTCAGAGTTTGACCGAACCTCACGTGTCACAGGCAAAGGGAGGCACCCGCACGACGAGTCAGAAGACCACCTCCATACGCCATATCTACAGTAAAGTAGCAAAAGCGGGGAGCACGGTTCACGCTAAAGATGAGGCAAACAAAATCGTGTCTCCCTGGGCTCAAAGAGAGCCCCTTGATCCGAAGCCTGGGACTTACATCTGCCACATGTCAGCCACCAAATGTGAAGCTTGACCCAAAGCCATCTTGCTCATAGGGGTCCCTTTGCAGCTGATGCACTTTAGGGTCAAATCCTCCAGGTACCAACGCGCTCTCAGGTCTGAGGCCGCCCCTTTCGGGTTCCATGTCATGTGTCTTTGTTGGAGGGCATCCGTGGGTCTGCGCCAAGGGACACCTCAAAAAGGAGAGATGAATAAAGACAAATGCAGAGCCCATCCAAATATTCCATCTCTCTCCTCTCTATCTCTTCTCCTTTCTTTTCATTATCCTATCCTATCCATCTCCTAGTCTATTTTGGTCTACCCAGTTCCTTTCTTTCCAGGCTACCCTTTTTTTCGGTTTTGTCTATAGTAGGGGAACCCTCCCCCAAAAAAGGAAACGGTAAAAGGGCACCGGGCGACCCAAGAATCAAACTGGGCCAACTTTGGGCTCAAAAATCCGTGTGCCTCGAAGCGCGGCAGCACCACCAGGTCGCAGTTTTCCAACTCCCCGCGCTCCGCCAGGTACCCGGACCTCGGTCGCCGGGCGTTCGGCTTTCAGTCAGTCTGGGTCCTCAGGTCAACTCCGATGTTGTTTCTTTTTTTTCAGGAAGTCATCGATTGAAGAGGATTCTCGATGTGTTAGACGTTTTTAGGTACTCCCGACTTCTGAGACAAGTTCGTAAGCGACCCATGGCTACTCCCGATGTTTGAGACGGTTTCCTTTGTTGGTACAAAATAACACATAAAACGGATAAGCTGTTCGAGCTTAACATGGGATACTCTCAGAGGCGGTTTTCAAGAAAAGGATCAGCAAAAAGGGGAAGCTTGTCTCATGGGATATGGAGCCTGGTGTGATGTCGCCAAGTGTAAAGTGACTTGAATAAATCCGACCAGGAACGCATTGGGTGCCTGAAGGGAACCCGGGAGCCATTGCGGTACACTTCCCTTGGCCCTTGGCAGATTTGCCATTCCCAAACGTGTTTCAAGTTTCTGCTCATGTATACAAACTACTCCAGACCCCAACAGCAAGAAACACTTTCCAGCTCTTCTTGGTTGCCTGCGGAGCATCGCTGCCGGGCGTCGACACCAACCGAGGCGACCGAGACACCAAGCGAGACACAACTGGAGCACTGCGGAACCTGGACGCGAGACACCTCTGCGACAACGCAGTGCACAAACACCGTCAGACCTCACCACCGGAACGCCAGCCAAAGGACCAGCGGAGACCAAAAAAAACAAGGGGGCACCATCGGCACACCCCTGGAATATCGGAAACGCACACCAACGGGGCTCTGGAACAGCTGCAACGCAGGGGCCAACTCGGACAACAAACCAGCACACCACCGCAACACCACCAGGACAGCAACTTGCACACCTCGATGCCATTGAGGCAACGGTATGCTTTGGCAGTTGCCAGCAACATCCTTTTATTCGTTCACGTAGAATATGGCTGCCTAACACTCAGCCAAACTTACTCTAACCACACACTCACAGAGTCTAACAAACACCAAGCCTACTCGAAGAACTCTTGTCTTGATGGTCTTCTCTTTTGAACCGGGACCCTCCGCCCGGCAGCTTGTTTCGGGTGCAAAGTTGCCAATCACTGCCCCGCACCTGCTTTGAGGGTATGGTGCCCTGCAACCTGCAACCTGCAAATTCGATCAAGTTCCTCCTTGAAATGCGGAAGATTCAAAATGCGACATGACCCAACCAACCAACCAACCAACCAACCAACCAACCAACCAACCAACCAACCAACCAACCAACCAACCAACCAACCAACCAACAAACCAACAAACCAACAAACCAACAAACCAACCAACCATCCAACCATCCAACCATCCAACCATCCAACCATCCAACCATCCAACCATCCAACCATCCATCCAACTATCCAACCATCCATCCAACTATCCAACCGTCCAACCCACCAACCCACCAACCCACCAACCGACTAACCGACCGACCGATTGATCGACCGACCACTTCATTAACCCATTTCGTGAAACACCTAGGTCCTCCAGATTTGAAGAGGTTAGAAGAAGTTGGTACCCGATTTTTCTTTTTCGGTTTTGTCTATTTCAGTAGGGGAATTCCCTCCCCCAAAAAGAAACGGTGCAAGGGCACCTAGCTAGGGGACCTAGACACTCAGCTCCCACCTCCCACACCATCCTACCGAGCAGCGCAATGGCCACGGCTCGGAGCTGGTGCTTCAGCGCCACAGCCCCAGCACCTCGCACCTCGAGGCCAACAGACTAAGTCGCAATTCGAGGGGTTGATTCACGGGGCTTGATTCAGGTGGACAGGCGATAAACCGGATTCTAGGGGTTGATTCCTTGTCCATTCTTTTCAACCGTTCTTTTCAAAGACTTGCCGCTTTCCCTGGGATTCCGGAGGTGTTCTAGAAAGAAGGATCCCTGGAAAGAATGAAGAAGGTACCCCTAGAACAATGGGAAACTAGTATTCCCCTTCATTTGCCCCTGGAAAAAAAAACAGAGGCAACACAAAAAGGTATCAGCTTCCTTCATTTGCTCAAGTCCCACGTCCCCTGGGAGAAAATCCAGTACTGACAGGTTCCGGTTAAAACCAAGAGGGGAAACACCATCATTTTAGGCAAATGGATGGGATTTCTGACACCATAGTAGGATAGGTTTATAATTCTGGGATCATTTCACCAGGGTGAAAGTAGATGGCACCATTCTCTTGTGGTAAAGGGGGTGGCTACTCAACTGTGCTACTCGGTCCTAGGCCTCCTATGGCTCTTGAAAACCGGGTGGACAAATTGATTACTATAACTCAGATGCCCAGTGGCCAGGGGAAGAAAAGGGCATCCCTTTTTTGGTTGGTTGAGTTTAAAGGGAACCCTTCCCCAAAACAAGGACAAAAGGGCACCACTGGGCAACTGGGATGATTAACAACTGGAAACAAGGAACCCCGAAGTAAGGAACCTTGCTCGTATCTCCAGAGTTTGTTTAATTTGCACAAATAGGGGCAAAAACATTACAGCTCCTCGAAAGCCATATGGCTATTTTTTTCGGATGGAACACGTAAATGGATCGTTTTTCCCGTATGGTCATTTTTTGCTGGCCGGTGGCAGTATTTGGCCGTATGCAACCCGTATTTGTTCAACAAATTGTTGACAGAAAGCCATAAATGACCGTATGGCAATTTTTTGTGGCCCAAGCCGTATGGACAGGAGAAAAAAGACACGTCGCATATGGGTTTCAGGCTCTATTAGGATCATGAATCAAATTGAATTTGAAGTACCCAACAAATCTAGTCTAATTATATATCCAGCACCTTCTTGTAGCTTCAAGCACACTATCGCGTCGTATCATTTGCAGGTGGATAGGGGTTCCCTAGACCAAGCAGTTCCCATGTGCAAGGAAAAGGTGTTATCAAATTGTTGACCAACACAGAGAGGTGCTTTTTGTCGCTGGATCCAGACCCGCAGCGCCAACGAAGTAATGCCCAAGTGAAACGAGTTGATAACCATTCAAATCCCCAGTTCCCGATTCTGCCCTGATAGGAACGTCTGGACATGACACACGGTCCTATTTAAGGGAAAGCATCAATCACATCAAACACAACAAAGAAGCAACAGCACACCCCACACCAAACATTGCACACAAAACGAAACAACCTACAGCACCACACCCAATCAATCAAACACACAAACGAACAAACGAAAGAACAAAAGAAAGAGCAAACATAATAAATAAAGACAGAAGGAACGAAAGCAAAAAATCCACGAATGAATAAGTAAGTAAATCAATCAAAGGAAGTTTAGAAGGAAACTTCCGAGTTACGGAAACTAATTGAAAGGTAGCTCTGTGGCTGAAAGCTACCCCGGTCGCGGCGTCTGACGGACGACGGGTGCGGGACGGGCTCGGGACGGGCTCGCGCCGGGACCATTGGCACGGACGCGCACACTTTCGCAAGGTTCAAATTTCGTGGCAGGCGCAGCATTTTGGCAAGGTCGGGTACAGATTTTGTGGCAGGTGCATCACTTTCGCAAGGTCAAGTGCAGATTTCGTGACAGGCGCGGCATTTTCTTACTTCCGGCACGGACGCATCGCAAATCCCATTGGCACGGACGCGCAAGGCGGCGCATGCAGATTTCGTGGCAGGCGCAGCACTTTCGCAAGGTCAAGTACAGATTTCATGGCAGGCGCGGCACTTTCGCAAGGTCAAGTGCCAAATTCGTGGCAGGCGCAGCACTTTCGCAAGGTCAAGTACAGATTTCGTGGCAGGCACAGCACTTTCGCAAGGTCAACTTTCGCAGCCGCAACTTTTAAGTACGAAAGTAGTACGCGAAGTCCACTTTCGCAGCAGGGGCTTGAAAATCGCAACTTTTAAGTGCGAAAGTAGCACGCGAAGTCCACGGGGCTCGAAAATGGCAACTTTTAAGTACGAAAGTAGTGCGAAGTCCACTTTCGCAGCTGGGGCTTGAAAATCGATAGACAGATAGTAGAAAGAGAGATAGAAAGAGAGAGATAAATAGATAGATAGAAAGAGAGAGATAGATAGATAGATAGACAGAGAGAGAGCGAGATAGATAGATAGATAGATAGATAGAGAGGTAGATAGATAGATAAATAGATAGACAAAGATAGAGAGAGAGAGAGATAAATAGATAGATAGGTAGATAGAGATATAGATAAATAGATAGATAGATAGATAGAGAGAGAGAGATAGATAAATAGATAGATAGATAAACAGCAGATAGATAGATAGACAGAGAGAGAGAAATAGAAAGAGAGATAGAGAGATAGATAGATAGAAAGGTAGATGGATAGAGAAATAGATAGATAGATGAATGGATGATAGATAGATAGGTAGAGAGAGAAGGACAGAGAGATAGATAGAGAGAGATGGATAGATAGAGAGATAGAAAGATAGGTAGATATATAGATAGATAGAAATATAGATAGACAGAGAGACGGTCAAAAACACGAGAGATAGAGAGATAGATAGATAGATAGATAGATAGATAGATAAATAGAGAGATAGAGAGACAGATAGGGAGACAGATAGATAGATAGAGGGATACATAGAGAGATAGGAGAGATAGATAGATAGAAAGAAAGAGAGATAGAGAGCTAGATAGACAGAAAGAAAGAGAGATAGAGAGATAGGTAGAGATAGATAGATAGATAGATAGAGAAGATAGATAGAGAGATAGATAGAGAGATACACATAAAAAAAAACAGAGAAGAGACAAACAAAAAGAACAGCACAAAAACAAGCAAACGAAAGAAAGAAAGAAAAGACAGATAGAAAGATTGAAAGAAGGGAGGAAGGAAGGAAAGAAAGGAAGAAAGGAAGACTGACAGAGAAAAAAGAGACAATGAAAGGGAAGAAGAAGAGAAAAAGAGTCAAGAAAAGAAAGAGAAAGAGAACTATAGTTTTTATACTTTGAAACTTCCGCCTCCCGCCTTCGCCGGCTATACTGGTAAATTAAGCAAACAAACATCAATAGCACACAAGCACGCGAAGAAACAAACAAACAAACGAACAAACAAACAAACAAAAAAAAGCAAACAATCAATCATGCGAACAAACCAAACAACCAACCAACCAACCAACCAAACAAACAAACAAACAAACAAACAAACACACAAACAAACAAACACTGAAAAGTAGCAGTGGGTTTATCAGTATCTACAAACAAGGTCCATGCACTCTGACAGTCTCTCTGCAGTACTCTTTCCTGCACAGTCTTGAGCCATGCAGTTGCATGACAGTCCTGACAGTAGCGGTGCGCAGTGGGTTCAGTGTCCTTTAACACTCCCCCTTGAAACAGTACACCATGATTTTTCACAGCATTTCTGTCGCAAAGCAGTCCAAGTACTCAGTCAACAGTCTACTTCGTGATCTTAGGAGGGACTTCACAGTCAACCTCAGTGCACCACAGAAATGGGGTAGCAGTCATTCGTGCAACACAATGTCAGCGTCATTCTGTACAGTTGTCACAGGTGATGCAAACCGTATCTCATACAGTGTGAGTTGATGCATCAGTACCTGAGCAAATTAAGCAGCGAGCAACAGTGCACTTGCTCACTCAAGCTTCGTGCCGTTGACAGTCACAGTGATTGACCGTCCCAAACGCACTCCAGCCAGTTGCACAGTGAGCTTTCCCAGTGAGTCTCTCTGCCGAGAAACAGTCTTGCTTTTCGCATCCTCAGCGTCTTCCTGGGTCAGTGTGCCAAATTGCAGGCCAGTGTCCAGCGAGGCTGCACCAGTTCTCCACACTGATGCAGTGACCGATCATGCCATGAGTATGCAAGTGGAACAGCGTTGAAGTTGCAGTGATTGCGAAGTCCATCCAGCAGTCTGCTGGCTGTCCATAGTCCACGACTGAGATGCCCCCTCAGTGCAAATGCAGTGAGAGAGATACAGTCGATTGAACTCATGCACCTGCTGCAGAACAGTGTTCTCCACATACAACCCAATCAGTGTCAAGCCTCGCTCAGTCATGAATGCCGGGGGCAGTTCTGGCCATGCCCGAGAGGATCCATGGCACCGCCCCAACCTAAGCAGCCACGCCTCGTGCTGGCTTGAGCCACGTGCCTTTGCTAGGTTTCAAATGTAAGCCTGCAAAATCCTGAAATAGAGAATGGTGAGGGGGGGGGGGGAATTCTGCCAACATGGACTTGTTGCTCCAAGAAAAACACTGGCGTTTCTCGAATTGGCCCTCGCAGACGACAACAACAACAACAATTGTAGGGGCCCTCGTGAAAAAGCTTTTCGATGTTTTTTTCGAAAATGAGCCTGAATGAGGTGAACGCAAGACATGCATGCGTGTGCAACTGCAAGGACTTGAGGGCGTCCGTAGAGAATGCGCGCGTGCCGTTGCATGCCAAGCCATGCCAATAAATCCGCAAACTGCTATTTGGCTGGCAAGGGTCGCAAAGCAGATGCGCCGCGATCGCGATCCGCTAAATCTTGCAAAAGGCGCCTCTTTGCGAGGCCCAGAGCCCCAGACTCCTGCTGCAGAAGCATGAGCGTCGCTGCTCTGACCAACTCTTGAATATATACTTAGAAGTTAAATTGTGTTTAGGGTTTAGGGTTTAGGGTTTAGGGTCCGCCAACACAGCTTGGCGCCCAACAGGAGTACATCCACCTTCAATCTTCTGCAAATATTCCTTGGACAGTAAATCCAACATTGGCTTAACCTTCAGAGGGTCTCCGGTAACCGACAAGTCATCCACATAAGCCAGTACGTACAAATCACAAT